GGCCGCAATTTCCAACAGCGCTTCTTTTGCCTCGCCCTCAGCGGCTCCCGCTTCCTGCCAGGAATGTTCTCGGGGCTCCCTGGGCGCTGCCAGCCGGGCAGGGAAGGCGGGGCGGGAGGAGCACGGAGCAACAGGCAGCGAGCCGGCCCTCCTTGCGCTTCCTCTTTGCAGGGGACGCAGGAGCCGTGCCGGGGAGCCCCGGGGGGAGCCGTGGCGGGGCTGAGGGGCTTTTGCTGTCTGGGTCTATCAGGGTTCGCCTTGGATCTCCAAAACCTTTCCCCGTGCAGGGCTACGCGGCAAAGGCTGCTCTCCCTTGGTTTGTTGATGCCCGCTTAATGCTCTTTCCTCGTTCCGTGGCAGTTTCCAGTCTTCCTCGTGGTTTCTCCTGGTGCTGGCGGAGTGTGGCGAGTTGTGCTTCCTGCTGGGAGAGAGAAGGACCTTGGAAAGCTGCTCTGCGACCACAGCTGTGCCGAGCCTGGGAGTTTGTTACGGGTAAGAGCAGGGCTTGTAGTCTCAGTGAGGAACTGGGTTTTGCTGGGGGAAGATGGAATATGCATGTGCCTTCGAAATACCAAGGAGAGGCAGAAGGTGGGAGGGACCCCTGAGCAGGTTTGGTGGCACGACAGCAGCTTCCAAAGACCTTGACTGTGGGAGAAGTGTCCAGGGAACGCTGCTCCTTTTCTGCAGGGAGGCAGTTTGCAAGGACAGGGAGGGTGTCGTGCTCTCTGGCAAAACTACGCAGGGTGGGATGTACACAGGGTGAGGAAATCTTGGCCACGTGTGGGCTGCAGGAAAGGTGTGTGGGTGCCTGTGTGTGACACCCGTGTGAATGCAGTAAGGACTTTCTGGTGCCACTTCAACTTGTAGGGAGTCCAAAAGGGCCCAGGTTCCAACTCAGCTTTATGCCAAAGGTTTCCTTCTTCCTCTTTCAGCAGGATGTTGAGTGCCACCGTGTCCCCGAGGTGACTGTTTCTCCTGCTGGGAGAGCACAGGAGGGATGGAAAGGATCCCCAGGCATGTGCAGGCACAAGGAGCTCATCCCACTGGGATTTTCCTACAAGCCTTAAAGGATGGGCTTTCAGGTACCCTGGTTAATGTGCCAGCTCTCCTGCTGGAGCTGTTCCATGGAATATTTGAACACAAAGAGTAAAGCTGAAGTCAGGTCTGTTCTGGAGCGTGTTACACTTGTGCAAAGCTCCTTTCCCCTGTTTGTTTTCTGTTCTGGAAAGTAGAGGCTAGGGTTCCTGGGCACTTCCTATTAAATGATGCCATGAAACTAATTTTGTGCTGAAAGAGGAAAGGAGCTGTCTGTGGGAGGTTACGTGGCCATGACAAAAGTTTTCTGCATTTTCAGTCAGTAAGGTCTTAAAATATCTTGGTGTGTAGGAATGGCTGGCTTGTCAAAGTGCCCAGCTGAGTGTGAGAGGCTGCTTTGGCGAGCTGCTTTCAGGCAGCCAAATGGGCCCCCCAGCAGGGACTCTGTGCCTGCTCTCCCGTGGTTCCCAGGGATCTCTGGGCCTTCACGCCGGCACCGAGATGTTCTCGGGAAGGCCCTCAGATCCCCGGAGCAGTCTGGGACACGGGCACGATCCCCCCCTCTGCCTTTTGGGAGCAGATTGGGCCCCCTGGAGGGACAGTGCTGTTGGTGCCCCCCGGGCTGGGGCACCCCGAGGACTCGAGCGCGCACCCAAAGGATTCTTCGGGGAGCTCCTCTGGGTGCCCCAAGCTGGGGAGCT